CAAAAATTCTCATTTCTTAAAGTAATTATAGTTCTGTTTTCTTCTTTTTTTCTTTGCTCCCTGAAATATGTCTAGATTCTTTAGAATGATGAAGCTTTCCAGTTATTAAGCAGTTTTGTTTGAAGTGCATGACCTAGGATTCTATTAATGATCAGTTCTGACCCCTACACCTCCCTATAGAGTCCCAGAGATAATAAGAAGAGCAGGGAATTATTGATTGAACTAATGTGGCTTCCTTGTAGATCCTGAGTGTCTGTGTTAAACAAAATCAATCAATGCCAACTGAAAAGCATGTTAATCATAATGTATCAACAACTTATATACACTAACATCCTATAGAAACCAATATTGCTACAACACATGCAAAAGCAATTAAATATTTCTATAACTCTAAAAAGGAGAAAACAAACAAAAACAAACAAAATAAAACACAATCAAACAAATAAATAAATAAAAACAAAATAAAAAACAATCAAACCACACCTTGATTGTAACAAAAGATGTCTGAACACTTTGAATTCACTTACCTGAGCTACAACTGTCTAAATTTAAAATTTTTGGATATTGAGATTGAGCTCCTGGCATTTTTCATAGCACTTAGTTGACAAAAAAGTGGTACTCAAATTCCGAGCATAAGAGTCTTCTAATCACAGAATTCAGGTAATCAAATTAATGATTGCCATCCTAATTTTCTAAGGCAAATAACCAAATTCTCTTATACCAATTTTCCTCTCACCAGTGGGTTATATTTTCTGAACAAAATTGCAGTTTATTTAATTTACCTATAAATATACATTCTACATAAGTACTTTTGAATTATTAAATGTTTAAAAGTTCTTTGCACATTTCTCAGGATATTATCCTTTTATTCTAAGATATGCTTTAGCATAACAAATCTTTTCAGATTTATACAATTCTCGTAAAAGAACACAAATCATGGGTGCATCTGTCCACAAACCTTTATCAAAAACTTTTCATCACTTGCTTTAAAATAAATTTATATTAGCAAAGGTACTGTACAAAACCAAAGAATAATTGCTATATTCCAATCTCTCACTGGTTCCAGCTTAAAAAGTGATGAAGCTTAACTGACACACAGGGAAATTACACTGGTGATAAACCAGATGCTATGTTGAAATAAAATATCTTATCAAACTAATGCAACTGAGGTCATTGCTATGGAACTTGATCTCAAAAATAGGACTAGGGAACACCAGTTGCAAATAAAAATAATATAATGAAAAGTGCAGGCAAACCGCTGTCATAATATCACAAACCCTACATTCATGAATAAAAATTACAACATAACAAAACATACCAAATATACATTATGACTCTGTGGGTGAAGAAATGAAGCAATCAACACTAAATCAAGCTTTAAATCAGGGTGAATATCGATGCCATTTTTTCAGAATACATTAGCAATCTGCCATAGTTAAAAGACTGCTAGAAAAAAATACAAATCAAATCAACCTTCTCTGTCACATGGAAATATTTCAAGAAAATCTCTATTCTTTGTGTGCTACTCAGACCAAGTTCTAAACACCGTATTTCCATTTCTAAAAATTCCAGTTTTATCTATCTGACATTCACTGTGTTTCCTTTCTCAGGAAAAGACTTCTGGTGATGCAGCAGTGGAAAGCAGAGTGGATTTTGATAATCAACTCAGGACTTACTCTAAGAGCGATGTTGACAAGTGCAATCTCACCCAATATTTGTAAAGTTTAAGAGCTCTTAAATTACCTACTCCTTTTGCTGCAAGAATTGACACCTGCATTTCAAAGCTCCAGGAAGCGCACTACACAACTGAATATATTCTAAGGTACTTCTCTCCATTGAACATTGTAAAAATGGTAGCCAGGTATAACACAATCCATTCTAAGATTGTAAAAATTACCAGCTTTGATGCTGAATTCTTGAACCACTCTCTTAGTAGAAGATGCAACTAAATTGTTAGCTATTTTCTCACTATTGGGTTAGCAGGTCAGACTTACTATGCCTGCTTCCTTCACATATGACTTTGCATTAAAGGTCTAAAGTTCACCTTCATTTTAAAATAATCTCTTTAAAATCAAACTATATAAAGAATGAAATTAAAAGAATAATCAAAAATGAAATGTCAAATAGCAATTATATACTTAACATAAACTATAATGTAGATGAAGAAAAATTTGCAAAAAGTACATTCTACATCCTGTTTAAAAATCCCAGGAAAGTATTTATTTGTTTGTTTGAAAAATGAGATTCTTTATTTCATTAAAAGAAAAACAACCTAGCAATTATGTTGGTTGTTACATTCCTAAACCAGCAGTCTTTGACTGAATATTGGAGACAAAACCAATTTTCTCCTACATAATCTTATGTAGCATTCATGTCATGTTTAGAATAAGGCTTTAAGTAGTTGTGTTTGAAAAAAATTATTCTAGAAATATGTATAGAAATATGTAAGAATTCAATGTAAATTCTTTAACGCATGAACCTGGTAAATTCATAGATGGATACTTGTCAGTCAGTGGCTAATTTATCTGCCAGCTTTACTTGCAACCAGGTTGGAGACAAGATAAAGTGCTTGTTTATTCTTTCCTATATAATTGTGTTGATGTTATGTAAAATTAATTTTTTAACTTTATTCATGACAAAAACCTACAGATCAAACATTTGACTTTTGCCTTCATTTTAGTCTGGAAACTTGATATACAGTTCTACGTATTACTAACCTTTTTGAGCTCTGATTATAAAACATCCCCAACAGTGCTGAGGAAAATAAAGTAACATGTCCTACATATCTTCAAGTTACTCTTAGCAAAGGGCTCAACATTCTAATTATAAACATTTCAGAAAATAATGAAGAACCATGGTATTATATCTTAATATGTCACAGAATCAAAGAGTACCAGGTAGGAAGGGAACCTCAAGGATCATCTGATCCAATCTTTTTAGGCAAAAATGCCAGTCTAGACCAAATGACCCAGCATCCCTGTCCAACTGAATCTTAAATGTACAATACCAGGGAATCCACCAGTTCCCTGAGGTGTTTCAAATGGTGATTTTTCTCATTTTGAAAAATTATAATTTTTTGTCTAATTGGAATATCCACAGAAGAAACTTGTACCCATTATCCCTAATCTTTTCCATGTGACTCCTTGCCAGCCTTAAATAATTATGGTATTTAGACACAAATGTTAAAGGGAAGCTTTATTTTTCAGTTGAGGAACTTCCCACTTATTTTTCAAACGTGAAGTATCACATAAAGAACCTTCTCTGACAACATGATCTCAAACCATGGATCATGTCATTCAGTTTTCTGTTTTCATAAAATGATGATCAAGCACCTTGAAAGCGCAAGCAGAATTTGAAACAGATTTTATTCGTGAGTTCCCCCAAGAAAAAAGGAAAGAAAGAAAAAATATTTTCAAATATCAAATTAACTCAAAGCTTCCATATTTTGAAAACAATCTAATGTAATAATTGAAGGATGAGGGGCAGTCATGTCTTCTTAGTGACATTTACATTTCAGCTAAGTTTCATCTTAACACACAGGTGTATCAAGGCAAGGCAGAAAAATAATGTGTAACAGGGAGTGATACATCTGACTTATCCTAGGGTGTTAAGATGAGATAAATTACTCTGAGAAGCTCCCTTTTGCTCTTTATTGGGTATAAAGTAAAACTGGAGTTGCTAGCAGCTACCTCTGGATACCCAAGTTACAGCAAATCAATCTAACCATAGGCCAAAAGTGACTGATGGAAAATTATGTTTTATTCCCATCAGCTGGAGCAAAACTCTTTTTTTCTTGCTTAGAACTTTGTTGTTTTAAAATAGGAAACATATGTTGAATATTTTAATTGGAAGTAAGCATTTTTACTAAAATCGCAACTATAAGTGACACAATAAAATCATTCCTTTCTTAAGCAGCTATATCTTATGATCTTACAATAAAACATGAAAGGACAACTACTGGATATAGTATTATGACAGATAAGAAACTATTTTACAGAATACTAAAAACAGTGAAAGAAAAACGCAGAAATAGAATGTGCATGATGTTCTGTATTTAGCTTTGTGAGTTGGCTCTGAAATCTCCTTTTGAGCTGTCATTGATAATCACTGGTATGACCAAATTCTAAGGCAACAGTAGGGTGTTGTCCACAATATTTTTATCTGAGGATTTAAACCAGCCAGTATTCAAATTTAATCCATATTTATTATAGTTCTATACATAAGCATATTTTTTTTTTACTTTTGTTAATGGAGACTAGATCAAAACGTGTAATTCTACATCATTATTTTCAATATGTCTCCAATTTCATTTTTAATAATAATGCTTGCTAAAAGCCCTGCAAGGCAGACCTCTTTTGAAGACTCTCCCACTGTTAACATAACAGAGAATTTAATTTGTCTCAAAAAATTATTTCAACGTGAAACATTTTCATACCTCCCTGTATGTGAGCAGTTTTCCAGTTACATGCTCTCAGTGCATCTGCAGTGAATCATACAGAATATAATTTTAAAGAGAGAAGAAATACTGGACATGTAATGTATATTCAGATACTGTATTCCAATTATAGCATCAGTGCTTGCTTCAACAGCATTAAATATCACACAGGAGCAGTCACATTAGCCTCCCAGTGGCATAAGACCTTTGAGGCTTGCTTGCTGCATTTTTTTAATGTTCTAAGGAATAAAAAGTAGAGGAAAAAAGAATGCCATTTCACTGCTGATTCTGTAATCACATGCAGAATATAACAGCACTATGCCCTTAACATTCAACTGCCTATCAAGTTAAAACAAACGTGAAATTTCCAATGAAAAAAATGTAATTGTAGTATCTATACTATTAGTCAGTATTACCATTTGGGTGAATTTCAATGCTATTGCCAGTGTTAGTTGGGACAACATGAAAATTTCTTCTATAGAGTTTTTATGATTTCTTGGGGGTTTTTTTTATGACACCACTCTTGTATTGGCAGAAACTTATTGAATAGATTTTTGCTTCTTACCATCAACACACGCTGGCCTTGCTCTTGTTGTACCGGCAATCTGTCCTTTTTTACATGCACAGCGAGCTGTTTGTCGGGCTATAGTCCTTCGGGGCTGACTGCTATCTCTGTCCAAAGTGACAATTTCACATGTACCTGCAGCCAGTTGACCTGGAAAAAAAACCAGCAACAGGTACCAGAGTCACTGAATGCACTACAGGAAATCTATTACAGCCAAATAGAGCCACAGCCCTAAGTCACAGCAGACACTCCACAACAAATGGGCAGCCAGACGATGGATATAATAAAACTGAGATGACTTACAATTTTTCTTTGTGGTGGACATATGAAAACCCTGCACACTGGTTCTGTCAGAAAAAGATTATTGTTCCATAAAAGTCAGAGAGTTGAGGTTACACAGGTTACTTTTATTTATGTTGGCTAAGTAAAGGAACGAACTTTCAGGGCAATGGAATTTAAATGGTATGCTCTTTCCATACTTTCAGAAAAGAAATTATAAAGCATAAAGAAAATAAAAATTTCCCCAAATTTCCATGAATACAATGAAGTCTTAACTGCTTTGTGTGTTGCTTTTGAAGGAAAAAGCCTTTCAAAGCGTGCCCACGTTTGACAAACTGTCGGTCCTTCGGCTCTAGCTTCATCTAAACTGAAAGGTAATTAATTCTCTTCCTGACTCCTATTTGATGTAGCTGTTAATTTCTTTTTTTTTTCATTTTACTAAATTTACTATGTAATTGTCAAATGGCTTAAATGACACCACACCCTTAGCTCAGTAATTACTTCCTTTTAATTGACTTGTCCAATATATGTAGCTTCTTCTAAGTACTAAAGAAATCTTCACCACCTAATTCTGAATTTGGACTAGGCTATGAGAAACAAAAACAAAAATTTCCAAAAATTATTTTATGAAGATCATTAGCTTGAAGTTAACGTTATACTTTTAAAGCAATGCACTTCCTCTGGCACAATTAATAGTAGCCTAGTAGTATAACAAAATAATACCTTTTACAGGTTGAAATATACATTATTGAATTTCAATGTGTAGAAAGACAAAAAAAAATTTCCAACTACTACTTTGTATTACATACATTACATATTCTGGAGTTTATAGTGCAGTAGCAAACGTGTAACACCATCTGCAAATCACAAACTTTCCATGTTTTAGTTTTTATTAAAAATTAAAAAAAAGAAAAATTCCATATTGTTTTTAGAAAAAAATACAGTTTAAATAATATTCACAGAAAATCATTTTATGCAGTAGAAATAGAAAGAGAAAAAAGAAAAAAATCTATTATAACATCAAATCTAAAAAAATAAAACCAAATCAACCTGCAATATATATGAATGGCCTTTAAATCAAAATGTGCAGTGTTATTTTTCTATGCTCTTTTCTTTTTTTTCATTCAGAATACAAGTTTACCCAGTCTAGTCTTCTCAGGAGCAGTTAAATGCTTGTTGTGTGGAACAGCAAAATTTTGCAGACTGTCACCAGCATTGTGTCTCGTTCCCTGCTAAGGAACCTAAATTTTATGTTTCTGTGACTCTTACACTGCAATGAATTACAAGATGGCAAAAATTAAGATCTCAAGGATGGAAAAAGGTATTACAAATTCATGCAAATATATGACATATGTAAGTAATATACACTAGGCACTTATAAACACATATATTCACAATAGTGAACATTATCACCCCAGGGTTTAATGGCTGCTGGCAACTAGATTTATGAGCTATGGTCAGTCCTGTGTTTTTACTCTTTTCCACCTAGTCTGTTAATAAAAACATCTTAGGATAAACATATTAATTAGAGGACTTCTACTCTGTTATATGCTCTTTTTTTTCTTTGTTCATTCAAAACTACTGGATTAAATGCAAAGGTTTAGCAAGAAAGATAGCAGCACATAATTTCTAAAAAAAGACAAAGGAGATCCAGCTACACTCAAACATTTTGAACTGAAAAAAAAAAAAAAAAACCCAAACCATTTGCTTTGGCGCTAATATATTTCATTCTGGGTTGTAGAGGATGTATTGCTCCTAAGGAATACAGCTGTCTTGGTAGATCATATGAAAAAAAATATAATCAGAAGAGTATTTAGATCCTGATGCCTTAGGCCACAAAAAAGTTGAAGCGTAAGTATGACACGTGTAAGTATATGTGTTTCCATACTCTCAACTATCCATGAGTCTATTTCTTTCATTGAAAAATCATACAATCTAGGTGAATAATTGTATAAACTCTCATTTCAGAGGAAAGGAACCAGACTTACAGCACAGTGAAGGCAAATAATGACTATACTCAGAGAATAAAAACAATTAAGCTCTATGTCAAGATAATTTGTGGGACTGCAAACAATGAGTATCAATAAGAACAGCTAATGGTATTTTCCACTTTTGGACTTGTAGAATATTACTTCTGCTTTGGTTTTCAGAAATGATAATTTCTACCAGGCATAGTGATCTAATTTTTCTTTATGAATTTTGAAAACTAGGATACCTACCCAAGAGTAATTGCTATATAATTTTGTCTGTTGCTTTTCTTTTTTCTATAGCAGAAGAAAACTGTAAGCTGTTGTAGAGCTACAGGAGCTCTTACATATACGATATAAATATTTCCTCCTGATTGTGTCACAGGCTGCAAAGATTGCAAGCATATTGAGCACTGCAGCAGAGTACATCCAGTGTTACTTGGTGTTAGATGGCTGTAAAGCATGAAATGCATTAGTGAAGGTTATGGAAGGCCATCTCCAGAGAGACAGTCATACTCCTGTAAAACATGTCCTCTCTGGCTTTCATTAGGTAGAGGGTAAGTCTACAGAAGTACACTTAGAGGACGTGTACTACTTTAGCTTTTTAACAATTTAATCTAGAAACATAAGGAACAAAGTAGTGGAACTAAATGAAAATGCTTCTTGCAAGTACTGAATTCCAAAAATTAGAATACCTTTCATTTTCAACGAAGTTAACACAGTGACCTCTTTCAGAGATGTTAATGAAAAAAAGCTGTTCATCAGTGAGCCTCTGAACATGCTCCACTTCACTCCTAAAGCCAGAGAAGAAATCTCAAGGCAGCAATGGCTGGAGTTTCACTGGAGCTTTTCCAGTTGAGAGATTAAAAGCCACAGTCCATGAACAGTCATAAAGGCTCCACACTTTCATTATATTTTCTTTATGTACTCGCAACACACAAAGCAACTTGCCACCCTCCAACCTAAACAAAATAATCTTGGTAAAAAAAATACAAGCATCATTCAAGAATAGTCATACTAGCCTAACCCATAAGCCTAACCCAGAGTTGTACTAGTCGAACCCAAAGAAAATTTTGGGTTTTACTGTCTTATGAACCAAACATGAAGATTATTTCAGAAGAACCATAAAACTGGAGCTTTTCAAGTTAATTAGTCAATATTTCTTTGTTGTTGTTACTCTTACTATATATTTATTTATTTATTTATTTATTTTATAATTTTAATCAAATAATTAAGACGTCACTGGCAATGTATTTGATTTTGTTTTCACCATCTGATTACTAAACAGAGAAAAGTTTCAGTTCCTTAATGCTCTTTTATAGTGTAGCACTGTATTCCTAAAATGCCTTTAGATCTCTCCCCACTATCTCCCGCCACAAACATAAATGCTTCTATATGGAATTATTTCAGAAAAAGGGAAAACCATAGGATTCTGAATTAAAAATGCAAGTCAAAGTAAACAAAAATCAAAAAATTGCACCACTGCTAAAATTTTAAGTAAAATAGGACTGCACTCTTGGCTTTTATCTTGAAATTGTTTACAGTAACTGCTGTATACATCACTTCTTTTGTTTTTTTCCTAAATGAAGCCCATTTGTGATCAGTCCTCAAACTGTTCTTTGAGAGATTTCCATGGAAGTGTAGGAATCATGAGTATAGGTATATATATTTAGCAAAGGTATATATATTTAGCAAATGTGCAGCAAAAATCTCAAGGTAAAAAGAGCATGTTTTTAAAAGATCTTTAGTACTTGCATTCTTGAAATAAAATAATTCATTATTGAAAAGCTTGAAAAGCTTAAAAACAAAGGCCATTTTTCATGTTTACCACTAAGATTCTTCTGTCAACTAAATGTCATTGTTGAAAGAACAAAGATTTTGAAAGATCTGTATTTTCTGCAATAGTTAAAAGCCTTAAATAGTAGATATATTTGTATTATATGGAGGGTACTTGAGATAATATTTTAATTTTCTGTGGCTAAAAATATTTCTGTTCTTCAATAGGAAATAAAAACCTAAATAATCCACATTAACTACAGCAATCAAGTTACAAATTTCTTTTAAATTTATGCTTATTGTAAAGCTGAAGGCTGTACCTTAAATTAATTTTAAAGAAAAAAAAATCAAATTATGAACTAATGAAATCTGTGGGTACAGTGAAAGTAAGTCTTGATCTAAATATACAGATTTTTCCAGAGGTTTACATTTCATGCTCATCCAGAAAACCTACTTGTGATTTGTACATGCAGGCTTATATTATTTTTCAGTGAACAATTTTTCCATGCATCACCAATTTGATGCCTAGCAACACAAGCTCTTTTAGTTCAAAATGCTTTAAGTTAGATGGTATTAAAATTCTTGGCTAGATTCAGATATGCTTTTGTCAGTGAACACAATGCAGGAGTTGTTTCAAAATCAGATTATAGGAATACATTCAGAAGTTTTCTATTACAATATTGAAGTCTTTCTAACAACAGAGCCATGCCAACTCCTGAGCAGAGCTGAAGATCAACAATTCCTACTGAAATAAGGGAGAACTGAAATACATAGTGCCACTCATTATCTGCAGTTTGACATTAACCTGAGTAGCAAATATTTCAAAATAATTAAATTCAAAATATAAAAAGCATATATTTAAGTGGAACTCATATATATACTTTTTGTCATATATCCTTCCTCAAAGAAAATGTCCTGAAAGAACATCTCTTACATTGAACATGATCCAATTCCTAACAACCCAAATACCTTTTCTTTCTAAACTTTAGCTAATAATGAGGGAGATTATGGCAAGGAATTTACTTGCCTCAAAAAACTACATTCATGTTTAAGCTGCAATCCTAAAATTTATGAAAATTCAACTAGCATTAAGTAAGAAAGAACAGGTCATTCCACAATGCTTCATAG